GGTGTTCTTTGTTGTTTTATTAAGCATTATAGAAGTTTTGCCTCTTGTGGATAATCTATTGATCATTGTGGTTTCCTCTTATATTGTTATTCTTTAGATGTGTATTTGATTTGATTGTTATGGGCAAATGTTGCAGTGTTGCAGTATAGTTCTACTTTTCAATATGGCTTATCATTTACCGGTGTGTTCTTTTCGATTTTAAAGATTGTTCAACCACAACTTCATTTAAGGGGTTTGCTTTTCCTTAATCATTATAAGAACATGTCTGCATGGAACTCAAAAGTCTGACTTAATGGGATTATATTTGTCAATCAACCGAATCTGACTTTGTCAAGTGTCCATTGCCATCTATTGTTACAGTGCCTTGAAAAAAAAATTAAAGGAAAAGATGGCTGAATTTCAGGTAGGTCATGTGCACACATTTTCTCATAAGATTAGTGTTTTAATCTTGTTTCTTTCATCTTCTATTATATTCTCTCAATTTTTTATTTATTTAAAATATGTAGACTCTAAGAGAAACCATCCATCAAGAGTATCGGGATGTTGTCGAGAGGCGAGTTTTTACAGGTTTGAACCTTTCACTTGTCACTCATATGTGGCTATTACTTCTGAAACTTGATGCGCCAGATTTCTCGTGACCTTAACAAATTTTTTATTTCTCTTGCTTTTTGTGATTATCAGTAACGGGCACAAGAGCTGATGAAGAGGTGAAACTTATTGCTCTGTTAAAATTCCAGTATATCTACACCATTGTAAAACGTCGTGTTCTAATTAGTTATCAATGTACAGACAATTGAAAGATTAATTGAGACAGGAGACAGTGAACAAATTTTTCAGAAGGCAATCCAGGAACAAGGACGAGGCCAGGTTTGTCACTTTTTTCATTGTTACCTTCTCTTCCCCTAATTGAGCACGTTTAACTATCAAAATTGGAAATTTTGAGAACTTAAGCAATTTATTTTTATTTTTTTGACGTATCAAACAATTTAGTCCAAACTGCAATCTCATCTGCTGAAGTTGTTAGCTTGGTCTAATGAATCATCAGATTTACTAATTTGTATTTTCTTTTTCCTTTTTCTCATTTTTTTCTTCTCCTTTTTGTTAAAGTGAAAATTATACGTTTGGGAGATACCATGAGCCACTAACAATGATGGTTAAGATTGATCACATCTGATTTCAATATTCGTGTATCAAATTGTAGATAATGGACACTCTGGCAGAGATTCAAGAGCGCCATGATGCGGTTAGAGATCTTGAGAGAAAGCTTCTTGATTTACAGCAGGTATCTTATTAGTTTGTGCAATCATGCTTACTATTTGATAAAAATATCAAGTTGCTATATAATGCAGATGTCTAAATTTTAAAGTTCGCTTTGCCATGTTGATTATAAAGAATCAAACTGTTGAATCTTGCTTCATGGTGTTCTGTAAGAATGTGTAGGATCAGTTTGATCCTGAGGTTGTCTCATGATGTGTTGAGCCTGTGGTTTGTGGCTTATAAAACCATGTTATGTTATGTTCCACTTTTAATGCCGTAATTTGATCACGTCTGACCTGGAAAATAGCCCAACAGCCTTGAAAGGGGCTTGACATAGAATTAAATGGAATCTTTTCCGATCAAATGGTATCTTGAGGGGAACCTTGTGGATTTACAATGGGTGTCTTGTTAGTTTTGAATCTTGCTTTATGGTATTTTGTAAAAATGTAATGGATCAGTTTGATAATGTATTTGTCTCAAAATGTTCTGAGCCTGGGCCTCGTCATCTTCCTCTTGGAACTAAGTGTATGTCCACTTTTAATGCCATAAAATTGCTTTTGGCACGCCCTAGTATGATATAAGAGATGCATGCCCGATTGTCCATAGATACTTGGATGTGTAAAAAATGAAAAGGAAATTGCATTGCTATTTGCATTCTGCCCATAATAGTTGATAAAATTTGGAAATATATGTTAAAAACCATCTCTTATGCACAGATATTTCTGGATATGGCGGTGTTGGTGGATGCACAAGGGGACTTACTTGACAACATAGAAACCCAGGTATTTTACCAGAATGTCAAAGCATGAGGTCCCCATGAATCTCTCAAAATTATTAAACAGAAAAAGAAGACATGAGTTTGAAAAATGACGACTGCTACTCTTGCATCATACTTTGGCAAATGATAACGTAATTTGTCTTTAATTTCTTTCTCCAGGTATCGAGTGCAGTAGATCATGTACAGCAAGGGAATACTGCTCTTCAGAAGGCGAAGAAGCTACAGAAGAGTTCCAGGAAATGGATGTGCATTGCAATCCTTATCCTTCTCATCATTGTTATAATCATTGTGGTGGCCGTGCTCAAGCCGTGGAATAGCAACAAGGGTGCTTAGCTCTAGTAATTTGTAATTTGTAAGTAGTGTATTACAACTGACCCCTCTGGGACTCCAGCAAATCACATGAATAATTTGCGGTTCGTTTTACAAACGTGGTTTCTAGCACTTTTATTATCCTATGATAATGAGTGCATGTAACACTATTAATTTGAAGAAACTGTCACTATATTCTTTAATATACATAAAATAAAAAACTTTCAATCAATTTTTTGTTTTCGTTCAGTCTAACCGAGTTATAGAGAGCACGAGAAGTTAGTTTTTTTTTTTTTAATAGACGAACAAACTTATAGAGAGCATCCTCTAAGGATCTCTAAATTTCTACAATCATACATTTAATTTTTATCAAATCATAGCAAGCCAGATACAAGTATTACTCTTATCACGACCAATGTCACCAAGTTCATGTCTGCTTCTCTATAAACATGCCTTAGTTGATTTAACTTGCAAATTTAGCATGAGTTCCTTGATGTCATTCAGATGTGAATAGTCTCCAAGGAGGACTTATAAATTATAAGCCTCTAGACCATAATCTTTATCATTTAGAATGAATAATCTGTTTCCCGAACTGCACATTTCCAAAGACAGAGGAGCCGGATCCTTATTGAAGAGTAGCTAAAATGTCAGGCTTAATAAGGAAATATGAGTAGCTAAATGATTTCCTAATTGGCATTGGTGGTTGTTGTAGTGAGGCCAAATCCAAATGGGAAGAGAGGATCATAATGCTCATCTCCAACATTCATAGGGAGCTGATTAACGGTTTTGAACCAAGTGCGAGAAAGCTTGCTAGTAAAACCAGTCACCTAATAAAAAATAGCTACTCCTTGGCCTTCAGTTCATGGAAGCCAAGCTGCAACCAGAGCATCAATCGAAGCAACATAGGGTTGAATCACAATAGGATGGCCGGAGATGACGATAACAACGCATTTCACAGCACCACAAACATTAGTGATGGTGCTCGGGCCAGGGTCGGGGATTGTCAAATTTAAGCTGTCACCAAATGTCTCCGCATATGGATGTTCTCCGACTACGACAATGGCATACGAGAAATCATTTCACTTTGCAAAGTCAGCGTCAGGATTCTCCATGTAGACTAACTTGGGATTTTGGATACACTGTATTATCCTTGCAGGTTCTTGAAGCTTGAGCCAGCAGCCTTTCAGGCATTTCATGGGTTTTGATATGCTTACATTGCTGTATACAGATTTGCAAGAGATGCTGGGAGGATTGATTTGGATGGAATCGTTGAGAGGCTGGGTGTGCTTTTGGTTGAAAGAGGGTAAGGGTTTGGAGGGAGGTCTGAGGCGCATTGACTCATGACTATGTGGTTTCACTCAGTTCACTACAACAGAAAAGTCACTCAATGGCACCTTAAAAACACTGAAAGGCAGGCACGGTGATTGGATAGTTCATAAACTTGATTTGTAAACTTGTAAATACTTGTTAATGCTGAAGTGCTGCGACACAGATGTGACCTTCTGATGTTTTCATGTGAACCTTCAACCTTCTATTAACCATTATTAGAGCACTCCTTATGCATATGCAATCAAATCCAATTTCAAGTGCATATGAGATGAGCAAGTCAGCTTAGCTTGCATAAAGAAATTCTAGAGATACCAAATCTCAGATGTACTAGCAAGAAGAAAGCAGTTCTATTGATCAAGAACTCTTAACGATTCTATATACCCAAAAGAAAAAATAAATCTAACTACCTGATCAGTTTACTTTGATTATGCATCACAAACCAATACAAATAAATTAGAAACGATATGCATCACAAACCCACAAAAGTAAAACAGAAATTATATGTACCATCAGTGGCAGATCCAGAAATATTGGGCCAAAGGGGTCATGGTATAAAATTTCCCAAATTTTTTGTAGATGAACTTAACACTGAAAAATTAAATGATGATATTTTCATTCGTATTTTATGGTAAAAAGAACATTATAAGCTACAACATCATAATTCATGGTACTTCCATTCATAATTCATAAAAATCAGTAATTCCATCCCAATCATCATAATTCATGGGGTTTCGAATCTTTGCCCACATGACTGGAGATGGAAGAGCTCAACCAACTAAGCTATACTTTAATTGCTAAAGTTGTTTCTTTGTTTTATAATTTGGAAATTTTTATTAGATCTTTTTTTAAATAAAAAACAAATTAAGTTTTAAATTTGTTTCTTTGTTTTGTAATTTTACGTATTCGTGTTTTTTTTTTCACAAAGGAAAAACCCATGTACGTTTTGCAGCCATCCCCTTTTAAGTAAATTTAGGTTTTAGCCAAAAAATTTTTTTCACTTTTGGAAAAAGCCAAAGCTTTTTCAAAAAAGATAGAAAAACCTCTCAACTTTCAAATCAAAAACATGCAAATGTAAAGGATTCCTTAGGAAATCCAAAAATAAATAAGGGCAATTTTGTCTATTTTGGCTTGTTTTACAAATTTCTGCTTTGTGTTTTTCCAAAGTCTCCCTTTTATTGTACCAATTGAAACTTCAATGGAGGGATCTTCATCAGAAGGTACATTTTTCAGCACAATCAATATATGATCAAATGCTTGCTATATATGGAATGGATTGAAAACATCTGCGTTTATATTTGCCTCGGCCGCTTATGGAAACATCAGTTTCATTTTATATGATTCAATTCAAACACAAAAGTGATAATCAACTGCCTGAATATCTTCCCATATTGTATTGCATATGTATCAAAAGCAAGCGCTGAGCTATTGATGAAATGTAAGTCCAACAAGAAACAAAGAATGTAGACAAGTTCTTCAATGGGCTCAAATTAATGTTTTTGCAAATGCCATTGAAATATTCTTTCCTACACTTGTCCCCCTTTTTCTTTCATACTCTTGTGGTACGTAGCAATAGCCAATCGCGGTATGCAATGCCCTGTACACAAAAAGTAAAGATGGTAAAAACTGATTCCAGATGACAGGTCATGGAGAGAGTAAGTGTGCAAAAGGAAGAAATTAAAACCACAAAGAAATTGCAATGGTTACAGTTAGAAAAGGTTACCAAATGGAATTGGCAGTATTAAGATGCAAAGAATCCTTTAAAAAATGCAGCAGATTTGAACAAGAGTCCAACTGAAGACAAGGATTATTAAAAGCTTTGATGCACAGCCTTTTTTATATAATTTGAAGAATTCACTAGTAGAAATTACAAGAAAATAAAAAAAATACATCAATCAATTATGCAACAGAGTCCAACTCATTCTCTCAGGAAAACCAAAAAAGGCTGAGTTTCCAAGTATCAAATTGAAAAAAAATCAATTGAACAGGAAGTTCAGGAACACAGGATTCAACTAACCTCTATTGAGCCAAAGAGTGAGGGGCTTCTTGCCAGGCTCCTTGCTCCTCCTAGCTTTCACATCCACATCAACATACTGCTTGAACCCAACATTTGGCTGATTAGGCAACCTCACCACCAGATCTGGTGAATAGGATCAAAGAAACCCACCACTATTGAGACAAAGAATGAAGGGCTTCTTTGTCAGTGTCTGTTTCTGCTTCAACGAAGTAGTAAAACAAAGCACCTCCAGGCATAAATATCCACATCAACAAACCCAGCATACCTTACCACACAAACCCAACTATTGGTTAAGAAGGCAGTCTAATTCTAATTATAAAATCCTCAAAAGGGATATATATATATAGAGAGAGAGAGAGAGAGAGAGAGAGAGATTACATAAGGAAGTGCAGAGCAAAGTTGCAGAATACTGATGGGGTAGTAATTCTGGTTTACTTTGTAATCTTGCTGAGAGAGGCCTTGGGATGTAGTACGCGTAGTAATAACCATATGCACTTGGCATCAATAGTCAATACCACAGGGGCTTCTCTCACTCTTATTCATGCAAGAAAGAATCTGTGTCACCAACATAGCCCTCTTCTTTCATTATTGCTGTCCAATACTTTAAAGTTGCCATGATTTCATAGCATTTGGATGAGACTTTTCCCCTGCAACAAATAAATTTGTTCTCTGTCCCACTACAATCCAACTACATCCGTGAACCTTTGCCACACCTTTTTCTTTTATTTCTCTTCCTCAAAGAGCAAGCCTCATTCCAGTTCCCTGATACAGAATGTATATTAGAAGGCAAGATATATGATGAAGAATTTTGCAGTTCTAAACACCAGTTTTGAAAATTTATAAAACAAGAAACTCACAACACATGACTGCTTCTAAATGAAAACACATCCCGTAAGAAATACTTAAACTAGTTTTCACACTAAAAATACTAGAATTTCCGCATCTCTACAAATTTTTTGTTCATTTCAAGATGCAAATTAAATTCACTCAGATTTTTTTTTCCACTGGATGAAAAGCAGGATATAGTTTGCCCTCAGTAATTAAGTCAGTTATCATTTTTGCTGTTGAATCATCTGCACAGAAACCCTTGGTCATCATTTCTTGAATAAGTTCTTGTGCCCTTGATAGCTCATCATTACGGAGAAATCCCTGGATGATTGTGTTGTAGGTAACGGTATCTGGGGAACAGCCTTTCTCTTCCATTCCTCTAAGCAATGCTTCTGCTTCACTAAATAGGCCCTTAGTAGAAAGAGCAATTATCAGTATTGTATAGGTCTTGACATCCGGTTGAAGTCCTTTTGAAGGGAAACTGCGAAAGAGATCCCTTGCACATTCAATTCTTCTTGCTGTGCATAAACCATTGATAAGAATATTGTAGAGACTGATCCCAAAATCCAAGCTACTCCCTTCCAACTCTCCAAACAATTTCAAAGCCATATCAATCTGGCGGTTTCTACACAGTCCATCCAGTAAAACACTATAAGTATGAATATTTGGAAGTGGACCACCAACTTTCATTTTTGAGAACATGTTTTGCGCATCATCTATTCTTCCCTCTTTGCAAAAGCCGCCAATAAGTGTTGTATAAGTAACAGTATCTGGAACCATTCCCTTACGAGTCATTTCCTCAAACAATAACATTGCTTTCTTCATTCTTCTTTCATTGCAATATCCGTTTATCAGTATACTATAACTAAAAACATCAACAATAGAGCCCTTCTTAAGCATTAGATCAAAAATGCGTTTTGCTTTATCCATATCTCCTTGCAAGCAATAACCCTCCATGAGCGAATTGTAAGTAACAGTATTAGGTTCCATACCTCTAGCAGTCATAATATCAATTACTTGATTAGCTTCCTTCAACTTGCCCTCCTTACACAAACAGTCAACAAGGGCACTGAAGGTTTGAACGTTTGGAGAGATACCGTTACTGTTCATCTCTTTGAAGAATCGTGACGCTTCCTTCCACTGACCTAATCTGCATAAACCCTGAAACAAAGATGTATAGGTGACGATGTTTGGTGGAATACCCTTACTTTTCATTTCTGAGAAGAGCTTGAATGCCTCATCAACAAGCTTGTCCTTACAAAGGCTGTCAATTATTGTGCTGTAGACAACTACATTAGGTTTACAGTCATTTTTTTCCATCATCCGAAGCATTTGAATAGCCCTGTCATTTTGACCTTGTTTGCATGAGGCAGCTATTAACGTACCAAAAGTAATAACATTGGGCTTACATCCTTCTCCAAAGGCTGCCATTTTGTGGACAAGTGAAGCGGCTTCATCAACTCTATTATCATGGCCAAGGCCCCTTATCAAAATGTTGAGGGTGGTGACATCTGGTTGAAGCCCCAATTTAAAGAACAGTGCCAAGACTGAAAAACTGCCGCCCATTTGGTTTGAACGACAAAAACAATTCACGATAATGTTTAAAGTAAAGGCATCAGGAACAAGTCCCATTCCCAACAGAGTAATTTGCTTATACCAAGATATGGCTACCGAATAATGCTCTAATTTTGCAACTTGACCCAATAATTGAGTGAAGCGGACAATAGAAGGTCGAGGACGCTGTTTAAGCATCTTTTTGAACATATTTGATGCCTCCTCGAGATTAGTGACATCAAATGGGTGTTGGGGGTCTCTAGATTTAGATTTGCTAGGGTTTGAGGACTGAGAAGAACCATGAAATAAAGCCAAGTAATTATTGTTGGAGAAAAAAACCCTAGACCTAGATTGCAGTTGCAGACAAAGATTACCTCTGCGTCGTCGATTGCAATAAGAAGAAGCTGATCTCCGCATCATAATCATCATGATCATCTGCACTGTCTCCAAGTCTGTCTGAGCCAGCCAACGTTCAAAGATGGTTGGGAAGGAAATATAAAAACAGATGCAACGCTTGGCAGTTTGACAGAAACTCAAACTCACCCGAAATAACTAATCTTGAGGACGCGTTGAATATGTTCAATTCGATGCTTCAAACATGTCCTCTGCCTTCAATTGTCGATTTCAATCCATTATTGGGTCAAGTTGCGAAATTGAAACATTATTCTGCTGCAATCTCTTTGTGTAAGCAAATGGAGCTGTTGCCAATTGTTCCTAATGTCATCGGGCCAAATGGGCCAAATGGGCCGTTGCTTATCGGTCTTGGCAAACACAATTAGTGGACTTTGTAGCAAGGGCCGAATAAGTGAAGCAGAAAACTTACTTACACTAATGAAGGAGAGGGGTTGTTGTCCAAATGGTTGCACCTACAACACAATTATCCGAGGGTGTATCAATAATAAAGAGACATCAAGGGCAATCGGACTTGTTCAAGAAATGGTAGAGAGGGGTTTCTCTGCGGATGATTCAACCATGAAATGGGTAGTTGATTTATTGTCTAAGGATAAACTAGATCCTGAATTGGTTGAACGTAATTGGTATTTTCAATTATTTGACACAATGCTTAAACCCTAAGAATCACTCCATAAAAAAGCTAGCTGTGCTTCAGAAATTCCAATTTCTTTTCCTTCATTTTTCTTATTACAAATTGACTATCTTTTTTTATTATTAAAGTTGTATAGTGTGCTTTAGCAATCTTAATTATTTCCTCGTTATGTTTATATGAGTAAGTTCTTATAAGGGTCTTGACCTTTGCCAGTTGATTTTGATATGGATGCCTAGATTCTTTTATAGAATAAGAGCATGCTCACCTACATTTGTTAGGCCGAGTGGCCACACGTGCTGCTGTCACCCAATATAAGTATATATTGTCCATGTGTTTGGCTCATAAAAAGGTATCTAATTGATATTGTGGTGAAATGAAAATTATATAATGTGAATTTGCTTCATTTCTATTTTAGGTTTTGAAAACAATTTTAATTTTGCATCGTTTTGATGATACCCACTGAGTGTTGAGAGAAATATCTCACTTAGAAAATGTGAGGTCTTGCATAGTGGCTTATAAGCATTTGGGTTATTCTTTCCATTGCGTATGGGTTTTGGGATGGATGCCTAGATGCCTTCATGGTATTAGAGCATACTATTCACATGATGTGTCTAACGGTCAAGCATACTCTCACATCACCCATTATGAATTGTCCATTGTTAAGGTTTAAGTAACTCAACATGTGCAGTTGCGTATTGAGAGAGATCTCACATAAAAAATGTGAGATCTTGCATAGTGGCTTATAAAGGGGTTGAGCTACTTTTCCATTGGCAATTGATTTTGGAATGGATGCCTAGATTCCTTGAAGAGAAGAGAGACATAAGGAGTGAGCCATCATAACTGATACATATTCAACTATTTTTTCCACAATTTTTTTAAACTAGTGAAACCAAAACTCTTATACCAATATTTCAATGTAATTGAATGGAGGGTGTCTTACTTGGCCTCGATCATCTGTCTAAACTTATTTCCACTGTGCTTTAATGTTGCAGTTTGCTTAATACATCACATGGTTTCTCATTCTCATTCCGATTGGTCCTATCATTATCTTTAACACGACATGTTCTTTATACTCCCTCTCTCCCTCTTTATTTTGAATTTCTTTTCTTTTCCTGTTTGGTGTTTAAGTAGTATAGGCCTGTTGCAGGCGCATACAAATGATTAATACGTGAAACAGAGCTTTAGCAGATGAAGAATGTTCTTATTTTGTTGTTGCCATGTGTCTGATTTGTTCGTTTGTTTGTTTTTTCCATGAATTCACCACTATATTATCACGCGTAATAGGTAAAGGCCTCTCTATACTCCTTATGTATATGTATATAGTGGTATCATTTGTTCTTTCAAGTATTTGGTGCCTTTTTTTATATTTGGGATCTCTACCTGAATTAATCATTTGTAGATTGCCAATTACTTGACTTGCATTGAGATGTTTGGCAACGGATTCGCATGGGTGGTGCAAGTAACGCATACATCTGCATGTGGGTGTCATACTAGATTTGAATGAGGTGCAAGCGGAATATATGTATGTCATGCTTATTAGAATAAGGAACCAAGTGCTAAAGGATGCTTATTAATCAAATGATCGTTTTTAACGCTTCCAAAAAAGGGGTTTTTGATAACCGAACGCACTTCTAACAACATTCGACAGGGCTCGAGGTGGAGTTTAACCCGAGCGTGAGCCTGAGGGCTGGGTGATGTCATCGTTGATGCCAGCCTGGCGTCAGCACTTGCTGTTTGAATTTTTGTTAACATTGGCGCGTGCAATGCTTAAAAAAAAATTGCACACTTGCACTACAGTAGTTGCCAACGGCTAGCTTCCACGTGTCAGCGTCTAGGCTCTTCGATCTGATTTTTTCCTCCAATCCAACAGCAGCCAATTTTTCTGCAATAAAAAGAAAGAAAAAAAGTAGAAATTTTTTTTAAAAAAAAAACCAAAAAATTACTATTTTTTTTTTTCTATAAATACCAACCAATATTCTTCACTTTTAACACCAAAATTTTATCTGATTATGAGATATGAATAGTATTGACACGTAGGAACCCAAAAATCTTTTCCGAAAATATTATCCAAATTAATTGTTTAGGTAAAACAAGTTGTGAAAAAAACAAAAAAATGAATAGTATTTGCCATAGCAAAGGGCAACTGCTGGAAACACACATTGCTTTTTGTAAGGGCAGCCACTATTCAAGTGAATAGTAGCTGCCCTAGCTCCCCCCTTGCCATGGCAACGGGCAAACTGCTGGAAGTGCTCTTATAAGTGTTTCTGCATTATAAAAAGCTCTCTTCCGCGAAGCACTTCTAGCAAAAGTGCTTGATATAGAAGCACTCCCATATGAGGTGCAAGAATGTTTAATTTTGTTTGTTTGTTTATTTTTTGAAAAGGCTATAAGGGCAGAACTTAATGCACGCTCGGATGAAGGCTAGGAGGAGAAGCTGGATGAGGCTGAGGACCTTGAATACACGGAAGGATAAATAAAGTACCAATGGAAGTTGTTGTTTTAATCAATACAGATTGGTAAAAATAAAGGAAACAGAAAGATGTGCCATGAAATTAGTAATGTTGAAAATGATGCCAGAAAACTGTAAATGTTATTCTTTTGGTGATTTATTGTGCCTTTAGACTATAATCTTTATTATTTAGATAAATAATCTGTTTCGTCCAAAGTTAGATGAGCCGGATCCTTATTCAAGAGTAGCTAAAATGTCAGGCTTAATAAGGAAATATGAGTAGCTAACTGATTTCCTAGTTGGCATTGGTCGGTGTTGTAGTGAGGCCAAATCCAAAGGGGAAGAGAGGGTCATAATGCGCATCTCCAACATTCATAGGTAGCTGATCAACAGTTTTAAACCAAGTGCGAGAAAGCTTGCCGGTGAAACCATAGTCACCAAATAAAACATCAGCTACTCCTTGGCCTTCAGTTCCCGGAAGCGAAGCTGCAACAAGTACATCAATCGAAGTGACATAGGGCTGGATCACAACAGGATATTAGGAAATATCTTTGTAAATATTGTAATATCTTTACTTGCCCAAATTAGTGTAGGTCAAATCCCACTAATATTGGATCACGTCTTCACAGCCTTAACAGCAGGGTTGATAGAAGGCTATTGTTGTATATATGTATTGTACTATTTGACGTTGAGAATACAACACAATATTCAACCATTCACTTTCTTAAGATGGTATCAGAGCTTCATCCTGGTACTTGACCCTTTCTACTTCCTAGCCACCTTCAAACACCATGTCAGATCAAACACCACCAGAAACCAGAAACAATAATTCCAAAAATTCAAGCACCAACACCAAAAATCCTGGTATGGATTCATCACATCCATATTTTGTTCATCAATCAGATCACCCCGGTCTCATGCTCGTTCCCATAAAGTTGAACGGCACCAATTACCCATCTTGGAGTAAATCCATGCTCCATGCTCTTACGGCCAAGAACAAAGTTGGCTTTGTCAACGGATCCGTTCAACCTCCTTCAGAAACTGAACAACCAGCTGAATATGCTCTCTGGAATCAATGCAATAGTATGATTTTATCATGGCTTGCACACTCGGTGGAACCCGATCTGGCCAAAGCAGTTGTTCATGCCAAGACTGTCTATCAAGTGTGGCAAGATTTCAAAGATCAATTCTCACAAAAGAATGCACCAACCATATATCAGATACAGAAATCCATCGCCTCTCTCTCACAAGGCACCATGACGGTTTCAGACTATTACAAGAAACTCAAGGATCTCTGGGACGACTTAGAAACATATCAAACACCTCTCATATGTAACGAGATGAAAGCACACAATACACAAAAGGAATAAGATCGGATGATGCAATTCCTTATGGGCCTCAACGACACCTACAACGGTGTTCGCGGCAATATCCTCATGATGTCGCCATTGCCTAATGTCCGCCAAGCCTATTCACTCGTCGTTCAAGACGAAACACAGCGACAAATAACATCAGGACCAACAGAGAATTTTTCCATTGCTGCTGCGATTCACAGCCGATCAAACAATATGTCGAATAATTCGATGAACAAACACTGTGAGCACTGTGATAGAAACGGTCATACAATTGAAGAATGTCGGACCCTCAAATTCCATTGCAAGTATTGTGATAGGAGAGGCCACACTGAGGATAGATGTAAATTTAAAAATGGGACATGGGTTCCCAATGACACAAGAATTCAAGGCAGTAAGCACAATCAATCTAAGCAACAACGTCAAGGGTCTAAAGGGCACATTTCGCGTGGGTCTTTTTCTACTGCCCACGCAGCAGACACAGCTCCAGCGCATGAGGCCCAGTCATATGGTTTCAATG